ATGTAACATGTCGTCACGCAAATGGAACTTTGCAGATTCTTTGCCGAAAATTTTCGCGTGGAAGACTTCGTGGAGAACGACTCCGATCGCATCGCGTACAGGGCCACCGAAAGGTACCTGAAGCTGTCTCTTATACACATCTTCACCTTTCCTTCCGACACAGTCAGCTTCGAAACCGCCCCGGTGCCCAAGAATTCGACATCGTCGACTGCCAGGTCGGGCGTGAAAGCACACAGCATCGCCAGAAATGTCGCCGACGCGATCGCAACGAAGGACAGAGGAAAGTATAGCGACACCATCTGAGTACGTATGTGCGATTTTTTTCCTATATAAATACCGTTAATGAGAACCGATAATTAATCACTCCAACGATGTCGATCGAACTGGCAACACGTAACCGTACTATGGATTTGGACAAAGACGGTGCAATCGTCAAACCTCTCGACAAGTTGTCGCTGGAATACTTGCCGACGGAATACCTGGATTGGGTGATGCACACTTGCGAAATGTGGCCGGAATCGAGAACCATCGAGTACACTGACGAGGAGGCGATGGACCCTTCGAATTTCCCAGGATCGGACAAGTTGGAATGCGGGGTCGGTTCTGTCACCAGCTTCGACGCGTTCATGGAGAAGTTCAGACGGACGCCGGTTTTCGCCAAGGTCGTCTATTTCGTGCTCGAGTCGGTGACGAACGTGCACCAACGGACGAGCGACAACGGAGCACCGTCCTCAAATGCGTCGAGGCGTGGGACCGAAGACAGGCGACCGACATACTCAAGGTGAAATCCGTCCGTCTGTCCGCCGTCGAGGGAGACGAATCGCGTTTGAAATGTTCGGTCGAGTTCTTGGATAAGCACGGCAACAAGACGTAGACCATCAGCATGGGTTCGATGGGCCTCATCTACGAACCAAACCTCGGCGAGCTGGGCAACTACGTGACGTCCGAGGAGAAGCAGAAGAGGATGCAGACCACCGGCTGCAACCAAATGTTCGAAGAACGGGTCGGTACGACGGACGTGATTCTTTCACAAGACTAATGAAAGTAATAGACCCCTATAAAACTTCCCCTAAGCCCAAACTCATCAACAAAATATTGGCCACACTAATATCCCTGCAGAGTTCATATAGCTAGAACCATAAACAAAATTCATCTGATGGATAGACAAAATGAGATCAACAATAATTAAATTAAAGTTAAATCATAAGCCGTAACATTTATAGGACTTAAGCAAAAAATGAAAAACGATGTTTTTCTGAGAAGTAAATACACATTTAATAAAGTGAAGGATTGACATGAGGGGCCGCAATGAGACCATCATATTACATATTGACCTAATAAATTGTCTAAAACATTTCAATAAAACACATTTTAATGATAATGTGAGTCCTAATAATAAGATTATTATAACAAAGCTATTTGTAATTTCATTGGGTATCTTATTAATATGTGGACAGACGTGTGTTTTTAGGACTCACTAGCTACTTTATCATTGACTTGAGGTTATTTATCTAGATAGTTCAAGTGCAGTCTGTCAGAGATACGGTAGTCCTAATTTAGTGAAAAACGCATTACGTAAACCAGAGTTAAAACATATGTATGTAATCTGCAATAATAAACAAATAATAATAAAATAATAAATAAATAATTATATAAAAATAATAGATTATACAAGTCCGGAGAGTTTGAGGATTTTAAATATTTTTCTATTTATTGTTTCACAAATTTTTGTGTTACATTTTTTTAAATAATTTAATAAAAGAAAACAAACATAACACTTATTGTTTAAATCCCTAATTTAAAAATGATTTTTTTTTCATGTATAAACTTTTTTTTAAACTATTTTTATATGTATTTTATTCATTGAACATTTTTTGATATATTATACCATGACCAAATGAATATCCCTTTGGATAATAAAGTATTTTAGAATTGAATTTGAATTTAAATGAATTTGCAAAATGTGAAGTACTTTAAAACAAAGTACTGTATAAATACTGGATATTGAGGATGAAATTGGCGTGATCAGTATTTAATTTGCAGGATTAAACTGAGAAGTAATCTAACTCATATTTGTATAGAAAATTGCTGGTAGAGAGGTAGGCCTGGGTGCGCAAAACCATCATAAGGCCAAGGTTAATGCATAATAATATATATACCATCTATGTTGAATTATTGGAGAAAAAAACCTTAAAAAACAATACTAATTTAAATTAGGCCAAAATAATAAAAAAAAATACTTGTTTAGCATCACCTCCTTAAAATTAAATACTTATGTTGGGAGGTGATTTTTTTTTTTCAATTAATATATAGTATCAATAATCCTTGTTAGATCAGATGCTACCTTAGCAGTGTCATGCCTATGCACAACGTACATACCCACTCAGTAGCGGATCCAGAAATTTGAAATAGAGGGGTCCCAGGGAGGGACCAATCCACAGGTTGTGGGTCTGTATATCTCAGCCCCACCACGGTTTTGGCTGAGGCGAGAACATTTATGATTATTGCACCTCTAGATGATTGGAAATGGCACTCTCAGCACTCTCAAAATATATTTAAATATATTTTATTATTATTATTATTATTATTAATAGTTTTATTATTACTAATATTATTATTAATATTATTATTATCAATATTGTATCCTTGTATCCTTTTGTATAATTTTCCTTTTTTCCCTATTTTTTTTTGTAATTTTTAAAACTTTAGGTGGAGACAAGGCCAGCTGGGCTCGCTCTTAAATCCACCACTGTTCCAAAAAATAAAATAAAAATTAGTTTTAATCAAAAAACACACGTGTTTTTCAACCATAATTAATGAATAGAGTAATCTATGAACAAAATAAATGAAAATGAATGAATAAAAATATGAATGAATAAATGAATGATTAATAATGAATGAATAAATAAAATCGAATGAATAAATGAAAATGAATAAATGAAAATGAATAAATGAAAATAAATGAATGGATGAATGAATGATTAAATGAATGAAAGAATGAATGCATGAATAAATGAATAGATGAATGAATTAGTGATTGATTAAGTGAATGAATAAATGAATGAATGAAATAATGAATGAATGAGTGAAAAAATGAGTTAGTGTAAATGAGTGAGTAAATGGATGGACAAATGGATGGAATATTATTATTATTATTATTATTATTATTATTATTAATATTATTATTATTATTATTATTATTATTAATACTTTATTATTATTAATATTATTATTATTATTATCATACACTGTACATAAAGTTAAGAAAACAAATCAATTTTCCGACATCAGTGGAACTCTTTGTGTCAATGGGCGTAGGTACACCCCAATGGGTGTCACTCGGTCGGCGTAATAATTTCAATATATTGCATATCCTCGTGTGGATATACAATCGGACCCCTTTTCTCGTTGCGGATTAAAATAACCTCGCTCCGTGCACCGCTAACTCCTTCAAATTGATCATGTGTTACTTTATTGCATACAGTGTATGATGAAGAGTGGGCGGGTCCATAGTTAATTCTTAGCCCAGTAGAAACAAAATGAGTTTAATACAAGCTTGGTTTATACAGTAGTTTAGGTGATTTAATGCCAGTTAACACTCCATAATACAGATTGATTTTACAGTGGCCTTATTTATTGTTTTATAGTAAAAATACTATACAGTAGGCCCTATATTATTATTATTATTATTATTATTATTGTATCCCTTTTTTCTTTTATAATTTTCTTTTTTCTCCATTTTTTTTATTTTGAAAACTTTAAGTGGGGACCAGGCCAGATGGGCTCGCCCTTAAATCCACCACTGTTCCAAACAATTATTATTTTTATTTTTAATGAAAAAACACATGTGTGTTTTATAACCATAATTAATGCATAGAGTAATCTATGAATAAAATAAATAAAAATGAATGAATGAAAATATGAATGAATACAAATTAATGATTGAAAATGAATGAATAAATAAAATCGAATGAATAAATGAAAATGAATGAAATAATGAATGAATAATTGCATTAATAAATAAATAGATGAATGTTTAGTGTAAGTGTACGATGAGATGATAAAAATACACCACACTAATTTATATGTAAAACTGTACAATTTATTCCAAGTGAAAAGCGTATTTACAAAAACACTTGAGAAACAAGTTGATGATATATACAAATTGATAGAAAGCAAAAGTAATGTGTACTCAGAGAGGACAAACTGAGGAATCACCTTTCATACCATCTGACCAATAAGGATTAGTAATTGCCTGTCCTTGTCTAGTACCTGGGAAACTCATCAACATTCCCAAATGATGTGTGGTCACTTGAATTAAGGCAAATGACCTTAAGGTAAATGACCTTCCTAAGCTTGGTGTATAACCCATGAAGTTGAGATATTAGTTAAAAATGCAAGGTATTATTTACACACAGATCCTATATACATATTTACAGATGGTAGTACTGCTACAAATGAATATGTAATTGAGTAAGTGGGTGAATAAATGAATGAATGAAATAATGAATGAGTGAGAGTAAATGAGTGAAAGAATGAGTGAGTAAATGGATGGACGAATGGATGGAATATTATTATTATTATTACTATTATTATTATTATTATTATTGTATCTTTTTATCCTTGTATAATTTTCCTTTTTTCTCCATTTTTTTTTTATTTTGAAAACTTTAGGTGGGGACCAGGCCAGCTGGGCCCCGTTTAAATCCGCCACTGTTCCAAAAAAAAAACCCATTATTTTTAGTTCCAATCAGAAAATACATATGTGTTTTATAACCATAATTAATAAAATGAATGAAAATAAATGAATGAAAATATGAATGAATGAATGAATAAAAATGAATGATTGAAAATGAATGAATGAATAAATAAATAAAATCAAATGAATAAATGTAAATGAATTAATGAATGAATGAATGAATGAATGAATAAATGAATGAATGAATAAATGAATGAATGAATGAATGAATTAATTAATAAATTAATGAGAGTAAATAAATGAATGAATGATTGCATGAATAAATGAATGGATGAATGAATAACTGATTCAGTGAGTGGGTGAATGAATGAATGAATGAATGAATAAATGAATGAATGAATGATTGAATGAATGAATGAATGAATGAATGAATAGGTGATTGAGTGAGTGGATGAATGAATGAATAAATGAATGAATGATTAAATGAATGAATGAATGTATGAATAAATGAATAGATGAATGAATTAGTGATTGAATGAG